AATGTGCTTTGGTCCTAAAATCTCAAATGAAATATATGACTAGAATAAAATGCATATAACAAACACTTGAAGCATAAGATACATAATATTCATAACCATTCCAAATGTATCATAATGTGTATCAAGTGGTGGAATCTTTAGTATTGTCTTTCAATCTTATGAACTAATAAAGGAAAACTAAATTTTTTTGAGGATAATATGAGAATTTTTTTTCCTTTTGGCATAATAGAATCAATAAAAATAAAAAATAGCTTTATTTAGTAGTACAAGAATTAGATCTTAGATGATAACGAATTTTTTTTTCAGAATGTAGATTCTAAATTTACAATGAAGTTGGAATTTACATATAAAAGATAGGCTATCTAGATGCCGCAAGGTTTAAGGATGCATGAATATTTATCAAAGTCGGTCACTAAATTTGGTTTTGAAACACATTTAGGTTGAATGTTACTCTGAAACTCACGTTCTTATTGAATTAACATCGAAAACATCGGTTACATTAGGTAATAGATCAATCAACATGATTTAGGATCTAACATGAGCATATTGCTCATTCATAAGATATTCAAGCAGCTTGAGAAACGATAAGCCCCCATATATATATATATATATATATATATATATATATATATATATATATATATATATATATATATATATATATATATATATATATGGAAAAACATATATCATTTTAAAGGATATAAGCTTATATTCTTTTAGATCCTAACCGTTGATTTCCGTCCATCAACGGTTATAATCTATTGAGTCAAACTTAATGGGCCAAAATTATTATTAATTAATTAATAATTTTGATCCAATAAATTATAACCGTTGATGGACGGAAATCAACGATTATGATCTAAAAGGATATAAACTTATATCCTTTAAAATGACAGATGTTATTCCCATATATATATATATATATATATATATATATATATATATATATATATATATATATATATATATATATAGGGAAAACTTCAAAAAAATCCCTATAAGTTTCTTTAGAATCACTTACCTCCTTCCCAAAAATTTTAATCATTTACACCCCTACTTAAAACTTTTTTATCACTTACCCCCCTAACTTGATTTTCCATCCAAAGTTAAAGTTAATAGAGTTAATCTTTTTAAAAAATTACCAATACTACCCTAAAAAAAAATAAAAAAATTAAACTTGATACCTTATTGCTAGCAAGAGATAACACATTTTCTTTTCTGGTTACAATAAAACTCTCTGCAGATTAGTGATGGCATACAGTGGTGAGAATATTCGATCACATATTGTATTCTTTTCACTTCACCATTAACTAATATTATCGGGTCAGGCTAATTGCAAATAAAGATCAAAATTAAAACAATATAATAAAATTCATCTTCAATAAAAGAAAGTTGGTTATTCTAGTTTATTACTACAACAAAACCTATAATTTATACAATATAGACACTTCAAACAATTATTCTCCTTAGCCATTATCTGGACAAGTATTGGAATGGAAATAGCAAAACCATATATGCAAGAGGAACTCTGACCCCTCGAGAGACACCTCAATGGTGCTCTTTCAAACATAGATACTTTGAATTCTTTCTACAATTCTCAATCACAAGTTGCTGCCTCAATGTGGGCATATGTACTTAAAAATAAATAAATGAACAGCATTGGCAAATTCCTAACTCTGTCCTCCCCCAAGCTTGTTCCATATCTATAGAATTGGGACTCCATGGATTTAACCTCTTGTCCCTGCTTAAAAGCCTCTTCAATGCCCTTAGTCTCCCTGTCATAGGCGATTTCAGGTCATCTTCGGCAAACCTGCTTGAAGAAGGCGACAAAGAGGATGAAGTGATGTCAACAATAAGGTGTCAAGTTTAATTTTTTTTGTTTTAAGGGTAGTTTTGGTATTTAATAAAAAGACTAACTCTGTTAACTTTAACTTTGGATGGAAAATCAAGTTAAGGGGGTAAGTGATAAAAAAGTTTTAAATAGGGGTGTAAATGATTAAAAATTTTGGGGAGGGGGTAAGTGATTCTAAAGAAACTTATAGGGAAGAAGTTTTTTATATATATATATATATATATATATATATATATATATATATATATATATATATATATATATATATATATATACTTCTCCGGCAACTCGAGATAAGTTTATCTCCGACCATTCCATAACTACGTCGTTTTGTTTATTTATTTCCTTATATTAATTGATTCACCTTTGAATGTTTATGATTCTCCTTTTCTCTCTTTTCCTTTATCATCATTGATCCATCTTTGTACGATTATGATTTAGTAACAGGAGATAAAGTTATCTCAAGCAACTTGAGACAAGTCCATATATATATATATATATATATATATATATATATATATATATATATATATATATATATAGGGATCTTTTGACTCTAGAGTAAGACTTACAACTCTTACTCCTCATCTCAACCGTTGATTTTCGTCCATATAACGGTTATCTATAACAATTAATTATTTATTTATTTCAAATAAATAATTACAGTTAGATGGACAAAAATCAACGGTTGAGATGAAGAGTAATAGTTGTAAATCTTACTCTAGAGTCAAAAGATCTCTCCATATATATATATATATATATATATATATATATATAGGGATAGGATATTGTGACACCCAAGTTATGTTACACCGATGTAAGAGTTAGAAGTCTTACACGCAATCTTGACCGTTGATCCACTCATATCCAATGGCTCACATTACTAAAAAATTTGAGCCCTTAGATATAAGTGGGATTAACGGACAAAATTAAGAGTGTAACTTACACTAGTGTAAGATGATCCTAACCCATATATATATATATATATATATATATATATATATATATATATATATATATATATAAGTAAGTCTCTTTAATCCTGTCCTAATTCTATCTAAGTCTATTGAAATTTAAGTATCCAATTATGAACCAATTTAGTTAACTAACAATACTAAATCAGTAATTTAAGTATCCAATTATGAACCAATTTAGTTAACTAACAATATTAAATCAGTATTGATTATACAAAAGTAAAAATTTTATAGTTAAATTATAAATTTTTAGTATCACATGTCAACATCAGACGAGTCATGCCTAATTTAAGTGTGAGTGTCTCGTGGATCACGCTCAACTTAGGCATGAGTGGTCACGCTCAATCAGAGCATGACACATTGCAATACACGAGTAAATAATTTCAAAACAGTAATAAATTCATAATTATTTGTTTAAATTGCAATTAATTAATTTTTGTGCCTAAATTTTTGAACAATTTTTACAATAAAATGTCTTAAATACTGTATTATTTAATATGCAATCCTTCAACAAATTTAACGTAGGATTGTTTCTTTTTTCATTTGAGTTTCACTTCAAGAGCTATGCAATTTATTTATTTTTGGGAAAAATGTCACACATTTTGGGTTGTTTCAACTTCTAAAAAGCAATGTGTGCTTTGAAGCCGGAGATAAAATAATCTCAAGTAACTTGATAAACGATAAGTTATATATATATATATATATATATATATATATATATATATATATATATATATATATATATATAGAGGTAGGATCCTTTGACACCGATGTCAAATTTGAAAGTTGACACCTCATCTAAAAGCCGTTAGATTAAAAAAGATCAATGGTATCACATGTTTACAAATCAGAGTCGTTGATATATATATATCAAATTTGACATAGGATATATATATATATATATATATATATATATATATATATATATATATATATATATATATATATAAAAGTAAGTCTCTTTAATCCTTTCCTAATTCTATCTAAGTCTATTGAAATTTAAGTATCCAATTATGAACCAATTTAGTTAACTAACAATACTAAATCAGTAATTTAAGTATCCAATTATGAACCAATTTAGTTAACTAACAATATTAAATCAGTATTGATTATACAAAAGTAAAAATTTTATAGTTAAATTATAAATTTTTAGTATCACATGTCAACATCAGACGAGTCATGCCTAATTTAGGTTAGGCGTGAGTGGTTACGCTCAATCAGAGCATGACACATTACAATACACGACAATAAAAGCGTAATAATTCACCAGACAAAAACATAAAATTTGGAAAAAATTAATGATTTATTCACAAACCAAAGCTGTGACGCTGTAACTGTAAAGACGGCGGTTTGCGGCAACACACATACTTATTTTAACTACTTTTACATCTTACTTCACTTATTATAAGCATTTAAAACAATAAAAGGTAATAATTAAAAAGCTGTGGACTGTAACTGAAAATTTTTGCGGTATTTTAACTACTTTTACTTCTTACTTTACTTATTATAAGTTACTAAGGGGTCCCCATAAACCCACTTAGCCAATTACTCAATTTTACGTTTTTACTTCTTTGAACATGGTTCACTAATTAATTTTCTGCGAACACATCGCTCACAACCAGACCTTCTTCTCAGTTTATATTTTTTTCTTACTTAATTCCCTTTCTAATAAGCTATCACACGCTTCAATCGGAGCTCGTTTGCTCCGGCTATCGCCGTTTGAAGTTGGATAAGCAAAACAACCAACCAACCCCAAAACAACTCAAAACCTCTCTCACTCCACGAATTACTGCAGCAAATTCACTCTTCTAATTGCTCTCAAATTTTTATGCTACAAACTAGACACTTCAACCTTCAATTTGATATATCATACACTTAATTTGACTGAGAAACGAAGCGGGAATTAATTTTCCAAAACTGGTCCAGTACAGCCCCCAAGTGCAGGGCAAACAGGGCAGCTGTGTTCACAGCCCTCCCAAGGCCAGCGCCCACTCAGAACAATCTCATATTTTACCACAGTGTAGAGGGAACTACAAGCTTCAAAATGGCGTATGACACATCTCTAACGGACCTCTGTGGAGGGAGATATGTTCTCCCAAAGTTCGCCTAAAAACTACCAATTTTCAGAAAATTCGTCAGAATTTCCTTTGTTTTTCCAACATTTTCCAAATTTGTACAAGTGGTCTATGACCTCAAATAGTACCTAATAATCAGTGGGTGGCACACACAAGGACCAACAATTCCTTGGGGCTCTTACAACCCACAATATACAACAATTCCATATCATATACAGTAATATACATGCATGATCCATAACTCTATATATATCACATTAAAAGGTGGCTATGTGTCATAACTACAACATCCTACATCAACCTACATAAACATACTACATCACAGTGTCACAATATATACAACAGACTCCCAAAATAAGCAGGCAACATCTATGCTCAGATCTACTCATCAACCACGGGCCTCTTGCCCCGAGAACGATCGTCAACTGCTGCGATACCTGAAATATATCCCCATAACGCGGGGTGAGAATGAATCTCAATAAACTTGGGGTTTATGGAGCAGTCTCCACCCAAGAGTCCACTTCCTGCAATAAAATATCAAGTACCAAGACATAGATAACACCATATAATCCATATTAGAATTTCTGTATCATATATCTTTTCTAATAATTCTCATTTATTCTTATAACGTACTTTCTTATTAATCTTAAGTATGTTCATGTCTTATGTATCAATAAGGCTTCCATCTTATATTCGTAATGTCGTATCATATTCAATAGCATACTCATAATGATTAGAGAACTAAAGTTTCCTCGGCTATACCTTATGTACACCGTGATCATATCCATAAATGTTTCCTCTTTTCAGAAACCACAACTTACACTTCTAAGGCTTTATTTCATTGGAGATCATATCATATTAACTTATCATAACATAAATAATATCATATGCATGCACTATATGAATGCAACTACGCAAAGTATCAATATTAACAACAATTATATCCATACGGAAACCATAATCGCCACTGATCATGGCGGAACAAAAAGGCTGAGAAAACTCCTAAACCGAAAGCTTACCTATCACCTCTTTCCTGCTGCTAACTTGTTATTTAATACGCCGTACACTTGGTTGTCTCCAAGTTGTTCGTCCACCTACTTCGTTTGATTACACTCTGTTACCGTATATATAAAAGTACCATTAAGTTCCAATGAAACATACATTACTTGAAATCCAAATAATTATATTTCATATGTTAATTTCATAACCAACTTGACAATTTTATTTCCCTTGACAACTCATGCCATACCACAAATCTACCACTTAATTTATACTTCATAAATTAAACCCTCAACTAGTTAATTAACTTACCCTTTTATAGTGGAATTTCATACACTTTAACATAGCTTCACATATCATAACCCACTTGAATCATACTTGATTATTCTAGGCAAATGCTATTAAACATTCACTTTAATTGAAACCACATAATCTATGCCCATTATTTCTTTATGGTCGAAGCCTATATATAAACATAATACACAATTCTTTTGCTGTCATGTTTAACCAATTAGCTTAATTCACATGCAACTATTCCTGACATAGAATTTCTATTAACTCGACCTTATCAACACCACATATTTTAAACCTTACATGATCGTAAAACATCTTTCAATGATCATGTATATATTTGTTCTCCAATTTTCATTAAATTTTGTATTAATCTATATCAATTTAATGATGTAGGCCGAAAACTATATATATAGGTTCTATGAATTTAACACTTTCCAATGTTTCTTAATTGATTCCTCTTCTTTTCTTTTCTTTTTTTTTTATATATATAATCTAACATAATTTAAATCTTAAAACAATTCCCTAAAACAATATTTAACTACTTCAATTAACTACAAGGCCAAGACTTATTTAAAATAGGAAACGTGCATTTCTTACAACTTCTTATCATAAAGCTTTTATATAATTGTTTCCAATACTTACTTAGCTTGTTAAAATATCTTTGTAACCTTACTAAACCACTTCCATGTACCTCACGGATCATAGGGCTGAATTGCCTTTACTTAATTCATCATCTCTTCATAACTTGATAACATTTCCAAACACTTATTTCATCATAAAACAATCTCAACTTCATGTTTTTCACTTAGACATAAATTCAACACATGTTGTGCATCTTTTACACATATAGGTCGAACTACACAGGGCTCCAAAGCTCTTTCAATTTTTTTTTGATTTTAACATCACATATGGTAGTATTTCACTATTTCTTAACCATAATTCTTCATTAGTCCATAATCATTACATAATTAAAATTCATTGACTCACTTAGGAATTATGTCAAACACTTAGAGTGCACCTTAAAAATACATATGGGCTGTCCCTTGTTGGTTCCTCAAACTACCCCAAGTGCAGATTTTTCAATCAATTAACTAGAAGAATTTGTTGTCCAACAACAATAATTCATGAACAACATAAATCCCAACATATACATCATTTAACCTACATAAAAATCATAAGACTCATACATGAACTGATTTCCGCTTATGTGCAGCCCTTAAAAAAAGAGATTACATACCTTAAAACACCTTCCAAGGAGCTAGAGTCATAGTCCAACCATTAGATAACACAAACAGTCCTTGTACTCTCTTTTTAACAACATTAGGTCGCAGCAATGGGGAAGGGTTTTCTCACAAACTAAGGCTTCTTTCAAGGAACTTCCACTTGGAATTTACTCTCAAGACATAACTCTACATCTTTCATGCAGATCATTTGTCCTCATTCTAAGTATTTCAAGTGACTAAAACTTGCCCTTTCTTCTCCTAATATTTCGCTGCACATAGAGAGGAAAGAACAAAATGAGCGTGGGAAGCTAAACTCCAAGGCTGTGAACTTGCTAATAGATGGGTTATAAGAAGGCTTATTTTATTTCAATCACTTATGATGTGTCAACCCTCAATAATGGGCAACGTCTGACTATGGCAAGTGAGGAGCCAACTTGCCAATTAATTTGGATACTATGATTCAAATCTTCAAACTTTGAACTTAAATAGGTACCTGTTAGTCTCACCAAAAAAATAAACTACATGGGCCATTCTAATTTTATAGCACAATGGGCTTCACCAAAAATTCATGTGAACACCAATAATTTAATAACCAATCCACTAAGTTTAAGGCTATCTCATAACTTGTTAATTCACACAAGTAATTTGACCTATTTAAAATTTCCTATTAGTTGATATTAAATCAATTCCAACTTAATTAAATAAATCTCTCTACACATTATTGGATCAAATTAAATTCACATTTATCCCACTAAATTTACTAGATAAATTAATTAAATCATCTCATTCTATATTCATATTCTAATTATATCTAGGTCATATTAGACTTGTTTAACATACACTGTATATTCCCATTAATTATCATGTCACCCACTTTATTTTAATCTAATAATTTATCTCACATAATTTCCTTGCATAAGTGTTTAATCTAATTAAACACCTAATTAATTTCTTTTCTCTTAATTTACTAATGAGGGTTGTTATAGCTGCTAAACGCATAATCACGATCAATACTTTTCCATAATACCCCCGCTCGGGTTACAAGCCAGCGCTACCAAGCTTAGCAATCTGAAGGCGTTGTCAGAGTATATAAACACTAAAAGTTTTCAAAGCTTGTCGATGTGGGACATAAAAACGCAATGAGCACAGCTAATCTTCGCGGTTCAGAGTTATTGTGACATTTTCGTCGTTGATTCCCTTATTATCCTATTTAGATTATTTTCTTTTGTGTTTTGTTCTTGAATCGCTTCTCCATCTTTCTCTTTTTGCATGCAAGTCAATTTGTGAACCCTAATCTCAATTTTTGAAATTTGTAATTGTTCTTAAGTGTTCACCTTCACATTTTCAGGCATGGCACAAAGCCATCAAGCTCACCAAATGATAGGTGCTACCATCGTCGTCCACCTCCGGATCACCATGTAAGGTGAGAAAAAATTTCGCTGTTCATTTCTTGTGGTTTAAGGTGTAAGAAAAATATCTTTTAAAATACATGTGACAAAGCTGCTGTGAAGAAGACGTATATTCTTTTGTTTATGTCTACTCCTTTTTTTTCAAATTAATGTTGTTTTGCTTGCAATATAGCCCTCACTCATGATTTGAAGTAGGAGAATTATATTCTGTTTTAGTCTGCATTGAACCATTACTTATTCAATTACAATAATATAAAAAGAAAAAGAAAAAATAATGACATGGAGACACTGTCACTGTTTTGGAGGCATGGTAATGTTAAACTATATCAGGGCTTAGTGCTAGAAACATGACATTTCAAGAAGGAGAGACATTATGAAATCTTACAGTCATCATAATATTTTACAATAAAGTTCCCTATACATAGAATTGAAGTAAGAATCTAGAAACAACTAATGAATAGAAAACTAACCTTGAGGTTTCCAGGCATTTTTGATGCAAGTGCCTTAGCAAAATCACCTATTGTATGACGTATCAGATATATGGTTGTAGCATGCTGCAGAAGTTTACTTTGCTCCATCACAGCGTTCCAGGATGACAATGTCCGCAAGATATGGAACACTCTCTTCCCATGACATTGGCTTTGATGGCCTGAATGGGGCACATGGGCTGAAGATATGGAACACTTGCAGGGTTGAAAGTGGGATTTTCATGGTTCTTAAGGTGAGACTATGTTACATTGGAATGTGGATTGAGTATCTATATATAGTAAAACGACTAAGCTTGTGGGGATTTTTTTTTTTTTTTTTTGAGTTGAAAGATATTTTTGAGGTACATGGACTGTAACAAAGTATAAAAGGTGAGGCCACTGTGGCATGGTTTAGTTATCTTTACTGCATACATTCTGATAAGTTATACTGAAGTTTCCAAAGATTTGATAACATGCAATCTCTGATTATCATGCTGCTGTCAGGATGACAATATAAGTTTTTTTTTTAATTATTTATATTTGTATATTAAAAAGACCCTAATGCTATAAATACCATAGTTCCCTTGTTATAGGATACTTTGATAGGTTTTTGTGTTAAAAGACTCTAATTCATATTAATTGGTGTGAAATGATTTTGTGCGTATAGATTATCAAGCTTTTCTTGGTTTGAGCTTTAGACTGAGTTTTGCCATTTCTACCACTATAGGAAATATATGCATGAAATTCATGGTATAAAAAATTGTAAGGCTAATAGGGCTGTTATATGTTTTTGACAGGTACACATTTCATATGCTGAGCTGAACCCCAGTTTATAGACCTAATGTTCATTTAAGTTTTATATTTGCTGGACCTTATACACTTGATGTTACCTTCATTTTGAAATCTGCAAGATAGGTGGCTGTAGTTAGAGGACCCCAGCTAATTGTTGGTATTTTAAAAGTTCACGAAATAATATGAAAATGTAAATTTTAATATGCAAAAGTTATTTTAATGTTAGAAGCATACAAGTGTAACAAAATGATTTGATCCAAGTTCTGTTATAAGTTGCTGGCAGGAATTAATTTCAGAATGCAATTGAAGTGCCCTCAAAATGGTTAATTTCTTATTTTATCCTTCTATTTACAAAATAGTTTATTTGATGTTGTGCTAATTATCCATGTCTCAATGTGTAGAACTGCTTCAGCTTTGAATTATACTTCGTTGCAATGATTACACTCATATAAGTACCTTCTCTGGTTATTGTAATGATATAAATGTGCATGTAGGTCTGCTGTAAATGATGAGGATGAGATGAGTGGCCTTCCAAATACTCAAAAAAATTCATCAAGGTAAGAGCTGTTACTGCTTTGATGAGTGGAATGCTAGAGCTATATAACTATTTGGACTCAAGAGTTGAATGCTTCGGATTTGATTTAATGACAAATTTAATTACATTTTTGTTCTGGACTCATAAAAATCTGTATTCAGTTGGAAGTTGCAAGTATACTTATTGTTAACGTAGGTCTAGATTCTATTCGTGGCAACCATAACATTGTTTACAGATTAATTTGCCTGCTTTCATAAAGCTTGGTTTATGGTGTGAGAAAATTAGTTTTCTTGTCAATTTAGTGGATGTAATTATTGTAACACTTCACTCTCTGTTCTATTCAAGAGATGAGCTGTAAGTATTGCTGAGCATCTGTAAAAGTTTAAATATTGAAAACTTTGCGCATTGTTGAGAAATGGGGAACAACAGCTCAGCGATCATATGCAAACAACAAGAGGAACAAAAGATTAATCGGCCCATAGTAAACACCAAAAGCCCATATGAAAGGAAGCATAGTCAGTTATAACACCTTGTGGTATTAAGCGCAACATAATCTATTATAATTTACGGAAGCATTACTCTGATAGTGTCACTATTACTCTATGTAATTATATGAACTAACTTTTTCCTTTTCTTTTCCTTATATAGTGTCATGCCAATTATGTTTCTCATATATTTATAAGCTGTACAGTCTCGTACCTATACAGATTCCTAATTCTCTAACTCATTGACCATAGTCAATGGTCAGTATCTATTCGAGCTGCAATATGGACATTAGTGATCGGAATTGAGCTGCAAGCTGCCACCTGCCACCATTCGTTGATAAGCGATGTTAACTTTTCCATGAACAGCTGTGTCGTGTTCTTTGCTTTGAAAATTTTCCTGTTTCTTATTTTTTTTTGTTTACCCTTTCAATGTTCTAGGTCTGAAACAATCATAGAGAAGAAGATATTGGTCTTAAAAAAATGGTGGGAACCCAGAAAAGCAAAAACGAAAAAAAGAAAAAAAGCAAAGAACACGTGAATGCTGTCAATGATTTTTTTTTTTTTTTAAGTTTAGTCGGGTTTAACGGGGAGTAGTTTTTTTCTTTTTTTTTTTGTATAAAGTGAAACTTAACTCTTCTCTGTCTCTCTCTCACATACACCCACCATTAACCTTGCTAGGAAGGGTTTTTGAGATGTCCATTATCTCTTTTCGGGTTGACATGATTGTTGTATATATATTTCAGTTTTGTTACAAGTTCAATTTCAACCTGTACACCATTATTTTTGCTTTAGAATTGCTTGAACTATTAGCTAAATCTAACTCCTTTAGAAGTGCTCATGGGATTGTCACTTTCTCCAGTTCTCTCCCACTCAGAAAACCAGCATTAGCATTGCAATACTAATATATTTTAACATCATACCCTCATTTACTTCACTTCTTAGCTTCCTTCTTAGGAGCTCCAGGAGATTGGAGAGGAACGAGGTGGACCTCCACGTTGGAAATGGAGCAAGAGTTGCTGCTCATTCTATTGGAGAAACCGACCTCATTTTGCCTACGGGCCTTATTTTGCATTTGAATAAATGTCTTTATGTTCCAAGTATTTCTAGAAACATTATTTCAATTTCTTGTTTGGAACAAGATGGTTTTATTTTTAGTATTAAGAATGGTACATTTTCTATCATTATGAATGATATTGTTTATGGTACTGCTACCTTAATAAATGGATTGTATGTTCTGGAAATGGGAACTGAAGTGCTCAAAATAGATGTGAAACGACCTAGGATGGATAATCAATCATATCTTTGGCACTGTAGACTAGGGCACATAAATGAAACAAGATTGTCTAGGATGCATGCAAATGGATACCTAGATTCCTTGGATTTGGAATCCTATGGACAATGTGAATCTTGTCTAGCTGGGAAAATGACTCGTCACACACCCAAAGGGCTTGAGAGTCATAAGGCTAGTGAGTTATTAGAACTCATTCACTCTGATGTATGTGGCCCAATGTCTATTGAGGCTAGAGGAGGATACTCCTATTTCATTACCTTTACGGATGACAAATCAAGATTTGGGTATGTGTACCTGATGAGATATAAATCCGAAGCTTTTGAAAAGTTCAAAGAGTTTAGGAGTGAAGTAGAGAAACAGCGTGGCAAGATAATTAAGACATTACGATCAGATCGTGGTGGTGAATATTTGAGCCATGAATTTCAGGATTATCTGAGAGAGAATGGAATTCTCTCGCAGTTTACTGCTCCTTACACACCACACCAAAATGGTGTCTCCGAAAGGAGAACATGACCTTGTTAGACATGGTAAGGTCTATGATGAGTGAGACTCAACTTCCAAAATCATTTTGAGGATATGCCTTAGACACAACGGCATACCTTCTAAATAGGGTACCGTCTAAATATGTTCAGACCACACCATATGAGATATGGAATGGTAAGAGACCCAACCTGAGTTATCTCAGGGTTTGGGGATCGCCAGCTTATGTCAAGACATTGGCATCAGACAAGCTTAGTGCTAAGAGTACTAAATGTCTTTTTGTGGGGTATCCTAAAGGTACTAAAGGATACTACTTTTACTCTATGGATGAACACAAAGTGTTTGTATCCAAGAATGCTGAGTTCCTTGAGAAGGATTTGATCTCTCAAGGAGCCAGTGTGAGTAAGATTGATCTTGAAGAAGTTCAAGAACCACATGAACAGATTGAGGAACCCAAGTCTGCTTAGCAGGCGACGTTCACCGATGGAGAAGTAAACACACAACTCCGTAGGTCTACGAGGGTCATCCATCCACCTGAGAGGTATGGATTTGTGATTGAGAATCAACAAACCGTTGAGGATAATGAACCGAGTAACTACGAGGAGGCAGTCAAGGATGTTGACTCTTCCAGTTGGCTTGAAGCCATGGAATCTGAAATGGATTCGATGTATCAGAACAAGGTATGGACCTTGGTTCCTAAACCGCAAGGAATAGTTCCTCTCGGTAACAAATGGGTCTTTAAAAGAAAGACTGATGGAAATGGCAACGTTCAAACCTACAAAGCTAGTTTGGTGGCGAAAGGATATCGTCAAAGACAAGGAGTTGACTATGATGAAGCTTTCTCACCAGTTGCCACGATCAAATCTATAAGGATCATGCTTGCGATAGCAACATATCACGACTATGAAATTTGGCAAATGGATGTCAAGACCGCCTTCTTGAATGGGTTCTTGAAGGAGGAAGTGTACATGACACAACCTGAAGGCTTTGTAATCAAAGATCAGGAGCATATGGTATGCAAACTTCAAAGGTCGATATATGGGCTAAAGCAAGCATCAAGGAGTTGGAATATTCGTTTTGATGAGGTCGTTAGGAGTAACGATTTCATCAAGAACGAGGATGAACCTTGTGTTTATAGGAAGGTTAGTGGGAGTAATGTTGTCTTCCTAGTGCTTTATGTAGATGACATATTGCTTATAGGAAATGACATCCCCACATTACAAACAACGAAAGAATGGCTTTCAGAAAGCTTCACCATGAAGGATTTGGGAGAGACGACCTTTATACTTGGTATAAAGATCTATAGAGACAGATCAAACAGGCTGTTGGGTTTATCTCAATCCACGTATATTGACAAGATGCTAAAAAGGTTTAGCATGGAAGGGTCGAAAAGGGGTTTTCTACCTGTCAGTCATTGGATACATCTTTCAAAGGCTATGTGTCCAAAGTCGCAGCCTGAGAAGGATCGCATGAGTGGAATTCTATACGCTTCGGCTATTGGGTCCATCATGTATGCCATGATATGTACGAGCCCAGATGTCTCATATGCTTTAAGCATTACGAGCAGATACCAGTCTGACCCTGGAGAGGGTCACTGGACGGCAGTCAAGACCATCCTTAAATACTTGAGAAGAACTAAGGATGCGTTTTTGGTCTATGGTGGGGTTAATG